CACACACACACACACACACACACACACACACACACTCACACACACACTCTCACACTCACACACTTTCACACTCACACACTGTCATCTGTTTTTGGATCTTGAAAAAGCAGTTCACACTTGAGGTCCCGTCACCACTAAACCCTGCAGCAACACGGACACTCTCTAAGACTCCTCACACCCTCCAAATCAGGCAGCATTGCCACCCAGTCCACAGAGCCCATCCAGTCTCGGCCCCGTCCTGCAGTGTCTCTGTTCCTGTCTGGTCCAAGGTCCTTTCAGGAATACGTGGTGTGCTTTGTTGTCAGACTCCACAGTCACTCCATCTGGAACACCCCTTGTCCTCGCCTGGCAGTGCAGACCTTACCTCTGTAGGCTGGTCCTTCACCTCCGCCCTCCCGATGCTGGCCTGTGGCCATGCTTCAGCTTTACCTCCCAGGCAGCCTGTCACTGTGACACTGCCTGCAACAGGTGACACAGCATCCACTTGTCCCACTACTGTGATGTCACCTCCATCTCTTGACCGCCATTGGCCCCTCCACAGCAGGTTGGCACATGGGAGAGTTTTACAGTCTCCATTGGTATGTGCCATTACTCCCGCCCCAGCCTGGGCACCGCCTGGCTTCTCCCTGCAGAGTGCACATGCCCGCAGTGGCCTGTGGTACTCTGAGGTGGTCCACGGTGGTGTTGTTCCCTTCATTCTTCCTGCATCTGTTAGTCTGTTAGTTGGCACAGAAGTGTCTGCTTAGGCTGCACTGGTTCATTTATTTAGTTACACATGTGCACTCCTGGGGTTGACCCCTTGTTACCATTCTTTCATTGCTCAAATTGTCTACCTAACCAGTCATCCCAGCACTGAGGAGGTTGAGACAGGAAGAAGGAGGGTTCAAAGTTTGAGGCCAGCCTTGGCAACTTAGCAAAGCCCTGTCTCAAAAAATAAAAAGGGCTGGGGTGTAGCTCAGAGCACCCTGGGTTCAGACCCCACTTTAGTCCATGGGACCCCCTCCGATTGCCTCCCTGGCTCTTTCGCGGGCCCTCTTACTCACTGAGCACTTCCTTCCTTTGTCCCCAAAACATGTTCCTGTCTCCTGCTGTGCTTTGCCGCTGGGCCCTGGAGTCACCCTCTCCAGGAGCCCTGGTTCATGGGCTGGAGGAGGTAGCTCCACAAGAGCGGGGCCTCGTCCCCGAGAGCAGTGGCGTGGTGGCCTCACTGCTCGGCCCTTCTGGCAGACACAGCTGGGGAGTGTCCAGAGTCAGGTCAGAAGCTGCTGCTTGAACCCCTGAGCGCCCCCTGAAAAGCAGCCACAGCACCCTCCCTGGAGCTGCTCAGTGAGGAAAGTAAAGGCCCCTCTCTCCCCAGGCATGTGCAACCCTCGGAACTACAGCGACACGCCACCCACCTCTAAGAGCACGGTGGAGGACCTTCACGAGCCCATCCCCTCGCTCTTCCGGGCGCTCACTGAGGGGGACACCCAGTTGAACTGGAACATCGTCTCCTTCCCTGTGGCGGAGGAGCTCTCGCACCACGAGAACCTCGTCTCCTTTCTCGAGACGGTCAATCAGCCTCACCAGCAGAACGTGTCTGTCCCCAGCAACAATGTGCACGCGCCTTACTCCAGTGACAAAGGTAACTGCCCTTGGACTTCCCTTCCACCCTCTGGTCTGTCCCTGGTCCAGTGACACCTGCATTCAGGTCATCCTCTGGAGCACCCTGTGGTTTTGAATCTGTGTGGGTGGTCCTGAGTAAATTCTAGACTCTGGTAACCTAGACAGAAGCCATCCGCGTAGCTGCAGAGCTCCGCCTGGCAGACAGTCACACTGGTATCCCTTTGCATCACACCTCACTGAGCAGGGCGTTGCTTGTCCCCATGTCCCCAAAGCTGAGGTTTCTGCTGTGGTAGGGTTGGTACCACAACTAGACCTCTTTGCCACAAGCAGTATTGTGGCACCTCGTCCCCTGGTCCACGCTGACCCAGCCAGTGGGCCCTCCTGGTCGCACGGGAGCAAGATGAGAATGCCCTGTGCCAACCCGAGGAGCACACTAAAGATGGGTAGGAGGGGCTCGAGGTTTTATCAAGCCCTGACGTGTTCTAGTTCCAGGCACCGCATGGCTCTGCCACCGTGATGGCGCTGCTGTGTCCAGGACGCAAGGGCATGACTTGGGTTCCCCCCTCCCTGCGTGTTCTCCATCACAACCTTGACCTGTATAAAGTAGAAAGGACTTAGGACATGGATAGCAAAAGCAGAGTGGCTTTTGTTAGAGGATAGATTTCATAAAAATGTTAATTTTAATATTTCTTAAATATTTAATAAAGATTCTTATTTTCTCTTAGGTTAAAATACTTTATGCAACAAATTCTGAGTTTTGGAAAACATCAGGAATATGTGCAATATGATAATAAGACGTTTTGCTGCCATTTTTCCCACTATCTAAATGTGGATGATCAGAGCTATAAAATAAGAACGCACAGATTTCTCTCAGAGACTGCTCAGGTTCTGGGGATGGAGGGGAGCTAGTCCTGCAGTGTCCTTGGAGCTCCCGCCCCTGTGGCTGCGTTCTCTCCTTAGTGTATAGGGCCGCCTTGGCTGCTCTGTCCCTCAGGTCCTCTGATTACTCGGGGTCCCCAGTGGCCGTCCGCTGGTGTGTTCGTGAGAGCTTACCGACCAGGGGAACTTAGTGGGACCAGTCACTGGAGGCCTGCGTGTCTGCACCGCCCCTCTGTGCCGTGCTGCCTCCCAGGCCCCCTCTCATGTCCTTGGCAGTGCCGTCCCCACACAGCACACACCCCCCCCTTGGCTGTCCTCTTGGCTGCCTGTGAGCTTCGCTTTTCACCCTTACACTAAAGATGTCCAGTTCCTCTGTGAAACCTCCCTCACCGCTCGAGCCCTGGCAAAGTATCAGTTGTGTAAATGGCTCTGTAAAAATGGCCCAGCCTTAGATCATATGCTCTTCATCCTGGTGCCCGTTATCCACTGTGGATCTCCTGGGCCCTTTTCTCCCAGATGAGGAGTTATATGGGCTTAGTCACCAGGGAAACTTGAACCAGAATCAGTGTCCTGTGGAGAGTCAGACGCCAGGCAGGATGCTGGCCTGCTGGCCACTCACCGTGTCTAAAGCACCTAAAGTGTTCTTTACATACATCCTCAACATCATCTTAGAATACAATAGTGGGGTTTTCAAACTTTTGACTGCAGAATTCTCTCTGTAGGAAATCTTATCAGAAGTGATGCACTTAAAAGAGCTTTGGTGTGGTACTGAACCCAGGACTTCATGCTTGTCAGACAAGCACTGTACCACTGAGCCAGATCCCAGCCCTCTTGCTTTTTTATTTTGAGACGGGGTCTCATAATTTGCCCCATCTAGCCTCAAACTTGTGATACTCCTGCCTCAGCCTCCTGATACGCTGGGATTACAGGCATGCACCACTGCATCTTCCAGCAAATAGTTTTTAAGCCTAGTAATCTAACTTCAGGTCAAAGTCTGAAGTGTGATGGGAGAGACTAAGGATGCCCTTTGCTTTCCGCATCTGTGGTGGAAGGATTCTCAGCCTGATTGACAGACAAAGACCTTTTCTCCTATACCTCATTTATGTCCTGTGCATATCAGCAGTAAGGGAACAGAGACAATTAACTGTCAATTGTATTCAACTCTATAGAAAGCACTTCGTGTTTTAACACCCTCCAGCTCTGAAATCTTAATTCTGTTTTCCAGAGCACATGTGCACAGTGGTGTACTTTGACGATTGCATGTCCATACATCAGTGTAAGATATCCTGCGAGTCCATGGGCGCATCGAAATACCGCTGGTTCCACAATGCCTGCTGCGAGTGCATCGGCCCCGAGTGCATTGACTACGGCAGTAAGACTGTCAAATGTATGAACTGCATGTTCTAAAGAAGGAAGAGAAACAGGAACCCAAGCACTCACAATCACAAGAAAGGTGTGAGCATGACTCAGTGAGTCCACTGGTTGGATCAGAATACCAGCAAGTTCCAAAGGTGCAAGGGCTGGGAAGGAGGTGCCATGTGAGGGTGCTGGGTGCTGGGGTGGGTTAGACACATGCGTACTACCACTCCCTCCTCTCCGTGCCCCTGGCTGCACACCTCTCCCTTGTTATACATGCACAGCACTGGTGTAGGAGAAGCCTCCAAAGCCTTTGTGCCCAACACAAAGCCTGGTACTGCTCCCTTCTTGTGTTCCAAGCACTTTCCAGTGTTTGCAGAACCCACTCAAGTGAGTTAGGGCTCCCTCAGTGCCTGCGACTCCTGGGACCTACCTGTTTCCATAGCTGTGTGCCACTCTTCACTGTGCCTTATGTCTCTCTGCTTTATGAACAGAGGGGATGTTCAAAGACATCTCTGAAAACCATGAAAATCACCTTAGTAAGCGTCCGCATTGGTTCTAGAAAGCAGGTGCCCGCTACATTTTACATTTGAGAGCCCTTATGCGCTAGAAGCCCTGCCCCGCCAGGGACAATGCTCTAGGGCAGATCTCTTGTCTGCCCACCCGGAGTGCTCAGCTGGGTGTCAGGGTGCACCGTGAGACTGTGTGGCGCACTCCGCCAGGGCAAGTAACTGGCGTCTTAGGTGCCAGCGAGGAGCACTGGGCGCAGCAGGACTGCCGAGCCAACTCTACTTAGCCTGCAGAAAAGCATTCTGTCCTCTGGGCAGGTGGGTGGCTGGTAGCCAGGCCACGTGGAGGTGACAATGAGCCTCAGCCCTGTGGAGACAGAGCCGGTTCCCCAGCCCACACAGAATCAGAAGAGAATTCAAGATATGAACAGGGCGGGCTGGAAGTGCTGGGAGGGCGCTGAGGACAGCCACATGACACGAGGCCATGCCCATGGGGGCGGTTGTATCTGGATCTCTTGCTCTTATTAAATAGGCATCAGATCGTGGGAGGTTGGAATTCTGAAATATTTTTAAGAATATCTGTTCAAGATTCTGTACACTCCAAATACACTGCAGGATTATTTAGTCAGCTTTTTATATAATGTCTCAGTGGAGATAAGCTTAAATACTCTGTCCTTCATAGAATCCCAAACTTCAAGTATGAATCTAAAACATAAATATTTTTATTATACAAACTCTTGATTTTACAAACTTTCTAATTTCTCTAGTGAATATTTGAATTATAAGTAACTTTTTAGGAATACCTCTTTGTATGTCTTCATATTTTAGTGTACGCACATAGATAATGCTGTTGGTAGTTTGTATTATTCATTATCTGAACAGTAGTTATCGGGTCATTTGTAACATTGTGATTACAATAAAGTTCACAGCTGGATCACATTTCTGCTCTGAGGTCACTAACGAAGGTCACAGGGACTTAGGTATTTTGGCCTCTTAGGAAGCTGAGCTTTATGGCTCTTGGGACATCCTGTGCCTGGAGGCTCCTGGCACCTTTCCTTAACCCCTCCTCACCAGCACCTTCGAGGCCAAGGCCAGGGAAGGAGTCCGCTGCCTCATTTCAGCTTCACTGCTTTCCAGGTGGCTTTATGCCTACGAGTGGAGGAATGCTTCTGGGTTGGTTGGGAACACAGTGGATATTTTCTTAACAGTGACAAACATGTTGAAGTGCATTGATCACCATTTTTTAGCTTTCATTATGAAGTTGTAAAATGCTGTACTTTTTTCCACCTTTACGTTTCTCGGAACCCCATTCTCACTGCAAGGGATCCCAATGGAGTGGTCCATTGTGCTCACCTGCTTCTCTCTCCTGGTTTGCCAAGGGATGAAGAAAACCTTAGGGTCCCACTTCCAGTTCTCTGGTGGCCTCTAGGTTCTGCATGTGAATGTTTTTCCAGAGTGAAAGCATAGTACCAGAGAGGCCAGCAGCCTCGCAAAACACAGACCCTTTCTACCACGCAGAACGTTCACGCCCATGCTGATGGTCAGAAGAAAGTCTTTTTATTTTAATCAAAAATTGAGTGGTCACCTGTGTTATAGCCATATCTAAGCTGGGGGGGGCCCTGTGAGAGGTGTGCATCAGCCGCTGTCCTGTGGCGGGGCGTGTGCTAACCAGCTCTGCCCTCCCTCCCGTGATGTTGTGACTATCGTGACTGAGTTCACAGTGGTTGCCCCAAATCAGTCGACAGTTCAAATAAAATCTCACATCTGTTCACAAGGCTGCTCTTAAAGGGAGGCCACCATGTAGCAGTGCCAGAACACAAAACAGGTGTCAGGCAGCATGGAATGCAGGAGAGAAACCGAGAATTCAGTGGAGAGTGAGGGAACTCAGCCACGTTTTCAAAGTTAGTTTTGAGAAAGCCACTTTGAAGTTTTCCAGGTCTATGCTGCACTCCTAAGAGTGGGTTTACTGTGTTCTAGATGATATACAACATGTAAAATAGGTATCTTTTCTTTGGTTGTCTCTATAAACAAAAAAGTATTTTAATAAAAACTTGAAATGAATGTGAGGCATGTTCTCTGTTAATTTCAGCCAAAGGAAGTCAGGCGCTTCTGTCTGGTGAGGTTAACGTCTGAGGGTCAGTGAAGCAGGTCCTCTTCCCTCTGGAGGGCTCTACAGAGCTGGCTGGGACCAGGGACCTTTGCAGTCACTCTCTGCCTCTTCCTATGCTTCGTTCCTTCCTGGGGACCCTTAAGATAAGCACTTCACCATTCTTTGTGTCTGCGGGCCTCGTGATCCCCTGATCGAGATTACAGGCACAGAGGAGGATGGCTGTCACTATGGCAGTCCCTACAGCAGCACTGCTGGTAGAGGGGAGCCACAGCTGCACTGGGGTGACAAAACGAGCCACTTCACATTTCAGCCCAGCACAAAGGATGATGGAACCCAGGGCACTCAGCCACTGAGACACAGCTCAGCCCTGTTTATTTTATTTTGAGATAGGTCTTGCTAAGTTGCCGAGGCTGACTTTGAACTTGGGATCCTCATGCCTCAGCCTCTTGAGTTGCTGATCTTATGGGCATGTGCCCCTGAGCCCGGCAGTTTGTTGTTTTTTTAGGTGAGGTCTTGCTATGTTGTCCAGGCTGTCCTCAAACGCCTGAGCTCAAGCCCCCCTCCCCCCTCAGCCCTGGGTATCAGGGATGGTGGTCTACACCACCACTCCTTTTATTTTAAAGTCAGAGTTTGACCCGTGGAGTTAGCAACAACCCCAAAGTTCAGATAGAAAAAAAAAGATTCCTGTTTCTCCCAGCAATGCTGGGAGGCCCCAGGAGCCTGTGTAACTCGGAGAGGACTGGAAAACGCGGTCCCACGGTCAGGGTAAAGAATTCTGCTGCTGACTCCAGGGAGCCACTGACAGACACAGCCACTACCAAAGCATGGTAATTTGGTGAAGGTGCCATGTGCCCTCCCTCTGGCGGCGCCACACTGTGGCCAGCATGGTCTTTCCACCCGGCCCTGTGCAGGTCATGACCACCACCACCCCAGCTCCCAGCAAGTCACCAGGCCTTTGAGCTCCTCTGCCTCAGAGAGCTGGCGTTACCTGGCAGGACATCAGCAATGGCGGGCAGCCTGCCTTGTGTTGTCCAGAAGCCGGAAGATGTCAGGTCTCCATGCCAAACCTCAGCATGCCCAAGGCCCCGGGCGATCTGTGCACTAGGCCAGAGCCTGGCACTGCCTGAGCTCACAGGGAGGCCATGTCTGGGCTGAACCTGCCTCTTTCTGGAGGTTTCTACTTAGGAATACCAGCAGCAGCCCTGCCCTCATGGTCCAAGGCCCCCAGACCTGGCACCAGGACTCTATGATCCCAAGATGGGTGATAGAGGCTTTTTCCTGGCTGACACTGGAGGGGACAGGGCTCAGCATCAGATGTGTTTGATTTAAAGAAAACAATGAGCAGGACCTGCTGCCACACCCATCCCGCTCTGCTGGGCCAGCTTGTCCTGCAGATTGGGCCTCCTGTCCCAGTTCCAGTCTCAGCTCTTGCAACACCTGGCAGAGAGGCCTTCTCTGATCTCAGGGCTTCTCCCACCCGCTCCCACAACCCTGTCATCTTTCCCTGCAGCACGAAGCTCTGAGGTCTCGCTGCTCCTCATCCATCACCTGTGCCCCTAGACTGAGGGGCAGAACATCTGTGATTGGCACTTGGATTGCCTGTGTCCCCAAAGCTGCTTGTGCTGGTAGCATGATCCCCATGTGGCCATGTTGAGGTGCCGCAGGATGAAAGGCCTCAGCACAGGTAGAAGGAACACAAGGAAGACAACAGGAGCCTTCCACTTGCACATGATTTGAAATTCTCTGCACACTCTGGTCATAGGTGACACTATGAAATCAATCATCAGAACTTATCCTCAGGTCCATAAATAACCCATCTCTTGACCTGGCCTTAAGAAAATCAGATCTGAGAATGCTTTTGCTCAATGAGCAGATTGTTTTGTAATTGATATTTTGAGGATGTGCTGACTTTATCCCTGTCACATGCTGCAAGTTGGTGACACAAATGCAGTACTCCTTAAATTCCCTAGCAAAACAATGAAACCTGGGCATCTGAGACAGTAGTAGAGATATTTCACCAAAAGCAAAGAAGAAAAGAACCCCTGTAGGCGATGACTCACACGCAAGCGGCCAGCGCACAGGAGGACTAGAAGTGCCCTGTGAGAGCGAGTGTGTCCTATAGGTCTCACACGTACATATGCCTTGTTCAGTGAAGCCACCGCATCCTCTCCAGCACCACACTGGGCCTGTCAAGAGTGTGCTCCATCTATGCCAGGCTCCGTGGCACACATCCTAGCAACTCTGGAGGCTGAGGCAGGAGGATGGCGAGTTTGAGGCCAGACTGTCTCAAAATAAAAAAGCTGGGGTGTGGCTGCAAGGTAGAGCACCTTGGGCTCAGTCCCCATTGCCACAAAAATAAGTACATAATGAATATCAGTCTGTGCCTTGCTTTGTCCATCCTTAAGTTTCTTTCTGTGATGTTGTCCAGGACCCACAGGGCCTGAGTCAAGATGCACCTCCCTTTAGGCATCCTGGAGACCCTGTCCTAGGAGACACCCCAGTGGTGGATTAATAGGAAGCTCAGGCACTCCTGCTCTCTGGCTGGGTTAATACTTTGAGAGCAGGTTGTTAGGGTGGACAGCCCATGCCTCTGTCCTCTCTGCACACAGGCGGCTCCCCTTCTGTTTCTCCCTGTGTGGTGATGGGGCCCGGGTTCTCTCTCCAGGACACCACACCCTGAAGCTTGGACCCTCCAGCGACCAGAATCAGAAGCCCACTAAATGCCTTCTTGAAATGCCCAGTCTCGGCTGTTCAGTTACAGCAACCAGGCAGACTAACGCAGGACCTGCCCCTTTTGCTACCCACCCTGAGCACACCCTGGTACCCTCAGGGTCTCAACTGGAAGCACAAGCTCTCATGGATGGGCAGATGATGGCAGATCTTTTCACCCACTTAAAACAGTGGCTTCTTGTTGCCCTCAGAGAAGTCCCAACACCCCCCTCTTCCCAGGCCTCTGAGCTCCTGTGATCTGTGTTCTTCCTGTCCTGCAGGCCCACCTGAGGGCTCTGGCTGACCATCCAGCTGCACTCCTGCTGGCCTGCTGTGACCTCAGCATGGATGCCTCTCCCTCCACAGTGGCCCCCACCTCACTGACCAGCTCGCAGGGCTCAGCTCTCCATGACCCGGGGCCCATCAGCAGCATTGGACCACAGAGGTCCTGCCCAGGAGTAGCCAGCCTCTGTGGTCACGGCACCTCTGACAGGTGCCCAGGTGCAACGCACCTCCTGCAGGTGCTGCCCACACACCTCATGCTGTGGCCTGGGCACCTGCAGACTGTTTGTCCCCAGGGGCCTGGGGAGACCAAGGGGCTGCCTTAACCACCGGGGGAGACCGTGCGGTGGTTGCTGTGAAGGTACTTGGCATCCTTGAAGGCCATTTTTGTTTGCAGAAAAGACTATCAAACATATATTTGTTTAAAATAATAATGTTCCATTTTTTTTAATTTGCAAAGTCGTAAACCTGGTTCTTGCACAGTTTTTTTTTTTTTTTAAAAGAGAGAATTTTAATATTTATTTTTTGGCGGACACAACATCTTTGTATGTGGTGCTGAGGATCGAACCCGGGCCGCACGCATGCCAGGCAAGCGCTCTACCGCTTGAGCCACATCCTCAGCCCCACTTGCACAGTTTTTAAGAACAGTTTGCAAAATATTATTTCTATCTAGCAGCCTGGCAATCTGAGAACGTTAAGTGTCTGACAGTCACTTTTCACAGGCCCTCGTTCTGCGCTGGCTGTGTTCTCAGGCAGCTGACAAGCTCACGGTAGAGGGGGATCTATTGGAAGCCCTGGGACCACAGGGGCACTTGGGAAGACCAAGTCCAGCGCAGGTGAAGTCGACTCTGACTCCGTTTCTCAGCTCGGTTTAAACTGGAATCACGAGTCTGCACTCCTACAAGCCAAATCCTCCGCAGCACTCATATATGCCAAATGTTTTTTGTTCCTGTTGTTGTTTGTTAGTTTTGATGGTGGAGGCTGAACCCAGGGTTGCTTCTACCACTGAGCTGCACCCACAGTCCTTTCATTTTATTTGGAGACAGGGCCTCACTAAGTTGGCCTTAAACTTGTGATCCTCCTGCCTCAGCCTGAATCCTGGGTACAGGAGTGTGCCACTGCATCTGCATACAGAGCCTTTTTAAAGGACTCCAGGGGTTGTGGCAGAGTGACTTTGCCTTGCTGGCGGCCACACTTGAGAAGTGACGGATGTACAAGGGATCTGCTGCAGCATTGTTCACCACAACCAGGGGCCAGATGCCCAGCTGGGAGCCAGTCAGACCTGGGGTGTTCTACAGGGCACACGCAGCTCCTGCATCATGGATTTTGCATCTGAGGATCCAACCAACTGCAAATCAAAATATTTTTTAAGTGCTGGGGCTGTGGCTCAGTGGTAGCATACTTGCCTGGCATGTGTGAAGCATTGGGTTCGCTTCTCAGCACTATATATAAATTAAATAAAGGTCTAGCAACAACTAAAACAAATTTAAAAAAATATTTTAAAAATTGCATCGTACTGTACTGAATATTGTGAAGACTTTCTTTTTGTCATAATTCCCTAAACAATGTAGTATAATGACTACTTATATGCCATTTACACTGCCTTAGAGGTGTGAGTAATCTAGAGATGATTGGAGCTACATGGGAGAACATGTGCAGGTTATATGCGCTCCCTTTACTACCCCATTTCCTTCCAGGACTTGAGCATCCTGGCATTTAATACCTGAGGGAGGTCCTGGAACAAATTCCCTGCAGATACTGAGGAACACTTGTACTATGGACTGTTATGGATAATCTCTAAAATATATCAACAGGAAAGATCAAGGTGCAGATGTGTAATAGACTACAATCTGTTGTAAAAACAGATTTATGAGCCAGGCGTGGTGGCACAGGCCTGTAATCCCAGCGGCTCCGAAGGCTGAGGCAGGAGGATCACAAGTGCTGAGCCAGCCTCAGCAAAAGCAAGGCCCTAAGCAACTCAGTGAGACCCTGTCTCTAAATAAAATGCAAAAAGGGCTGGGGATGTGGCTCAGTGGTTGAGTGCCCCTGAGTTCAGTACCAAAAACCAAAAACCAAACAACCACAACAAAACAGATTTATGTACATATCTGGTTGTTTTTTAAATGACGTATCTGGGAAGATTCACCAGAAAATGAAAAACTGCCTACCTCTAGGCAGGGAAAGAGAGAGGCCGAGGGGCAGAATCAGGAAGAGGCTGTCCTACTATACAGCCACGAGAACGTACTACAGCTGAGTGCTATTCGGAGCCAATGGAAACACCAGCTGAAATTCCAAAACCACAGCTTTTTAAGACTCAGAAGAGCAATCTTTAAGAAGAATATATTTTAATTCAACTTGAAACCACTATCCTAGAGCTTGCACCTGTTGCCTGCCCCATGGGAGGCTGCTGTCCTTCACAGCTCTGCTCCCATGAGCTGGCCTCCATTACATTGGTGACTTGGAAATGGCCTTGCCGCCGTGCCTAAGGAGCTCGGTGCGTTGGGCTGGGCCCAGAGCTCCCAGGAAGGGGAGGGGAGCCCTGGAGTGTGCTCAGGTGATGGTGTTATGCTGTGGAGGTGAGGTGTCCCCCAAAAGCTCACGCTTGAGACAGGGCAAGAAGGTTCAGAGGAGAACTGACCGGGTTGGAGAGTCTTAACCAGTGAACCATCCCCTGATGGGATGAAGTGAAATGGTGGGGTGTGGTGGAGGAGGTGGGGATGGGGCGTGGCTCTGGGGCATATGTTATGTATCTGGAGTGGAGACTTTCTGCTTTCTGATCACCATGTGAGCTGCTTCGCCCCGCCTACGCTCTTCCCCAGGCAGAGCTGGCCGAGGAATGCACGGAGACCTCTGAAACCCGAGCCCTTATAGAAACCTTTCCTTCTCTGCCGTTGTGCTGGCCGCGTCATTTCGTCATAGCAGTGAGAAAACCCACTAAACCATAAGGTAACTGTTAAAGCAAACCTAGTCGATGAGAGTGATCACCACTCTCCTTCATGAGTTGTTTGGAGTGGACTTTCCGGATTTCTGCCCAGGGCCTTTTCTCAGAGCAGATCCTGAGCACAAGCTCCACTGGCCCGAGCCCAGCCTACCTGGTGACTCCTGGCCAGAGGCCAGGTCTGTTCACACCCCAAGGCTCTAGAAATGATCAGATCTCTTGAAAGGACACATTCTCCTAGTTACCAGGGATCACGAATGACGTGCAGGAGTCCGGGTGTTCAGCAACTCTGAAGATGAACCCAGGCGGCAGAGCTGCAGCCTTCCTGCTGCCTGGGAGTCACTGAACCAGGCCTCCCTGACATGGCCTCTGACACCTTTATCAAAGACTCTCCTGCTCTTGTCCTCCAATATTTTTAATTTTTATTTTATTTTATTTTTTGGTACTAGGAACTAAACCCAGGAGGGCTTAACCACTGAGTCAGCCCTTTTTATTTATTTTTTTTTATTTTGAGACAGTGTCTCCTTAAGTGGCTTAGTGGCTCACTAAGATGCTTAGGGGCTGGCTAAGTTACTGAGGCTGGATTTGAACTTGTGATCCTCCTGCCTCAGCCTCCCAGGCCTCTGGGATTACAGGCATGCGCCACTGCACTCTGCCTTTGATGTTTGATTTCTGAATAAAAAGCAAAACAAACAGCCAGTGAATATGGGGAAAGGAGAAGACCATGTTTCATTCTGAGGCTTGATTCCCCTGGGGATGATGGACCCACAAGTGGATTGAAGAAAACACCCACTCATAATCCCGTTGTCTCGGATTCAGTCGTTTCTGCTGTGAGCAGTGACTACTGAAGCCTGGCCTGGGGACAGCTCTTCTTGGAGAGGTCTGCCAGCCAAGGGCTGCGCCAGGCGCCTCTCCTGGGCCGCAGAGCCCCTAAGCTGCCTCTTCTCCACCATATGCCGGTGTTGCCTGGGATGACTCCCCCTTTTGGTGACCAACCTCAGTCTCTGCTTTTCACAACTGAAACTCAAAGTAGTACAATGTCCTCCTAGTCTCTGTCCCAACACAAAAGTAGCCTCATGTGCCTCCTTATCACACTGAACCATTGGAACGTGCCGATATAGTCAAGACTTTTCATATCTTCACAACTTGGTAGTTTCCTTGCAAAGTACCCAACTGTCTGAACAGCTGTCGTCAACATAGTGAAGTCCAACCTGCCGCCATCCTACTGAAAACGTGCTCTGCAAGGGAGGCCTCCCGCCTTGGCTCCCCGGCTTCACCACATGCACTGCCTTCCAGCAGCCCCCTGCTGAGTTGTAGCAGTGAACTAGTGCAACCTTTCAACAGCAGAAGCACTCTGGAGCCATCGCAAGAACATGAAATAGGCCACGAGAAGGAAGCAGGAAGCCCAGCTCTGTGTTCTGAGGCATTTCAAAACAGCACATCTGTGATCCAGATCAAAACCAACAGACTCAAAAGCACTCCGATGGGACTCAGAGAGAAAGTGGCCCACAGTGGCGCCACCTTGTGGTCACCAGGAAGTGTGGGCCTTTTAGAGGACACTGACACCCTGGACTGTCCCATTAAGCTCCTGAAGCCTGTGTCCACTGTGGCCAGGACCTGCAGCAGCATTACTCTAGTCTTGGATAGGGGGCCCCAGGCAGGATCCCCTAGGAGGCGCCATGTCCTGGGCTCTACTGCCCAGTGTGTCCTTGGGCCAGCTGCTGTGGCCTCCCCCGTCCAGTGTGGATCTCGGCCAAGCTCCAGCTGCTGGAGGTGTGTGCCTGCAGTCCCAGCTGCTTGGGAGGCTTGGGAAGAAAGATCTCTTGAGCCTAAGTTTGGGGGCAGCCCCAGCAACATAGCAAGACCCCATCTCAAAAAAGAAGAAGGAGAAGAAAAGGAGTCCTTCTGGCCCACTCACTTCCCACTAGAAGATAAAAATGCAGACTCTCCAGAACCCCGGCCTGTGGTAAGCTGGCTCCAGCCTGCAGCTCACTCCCCCAGGGCTTAACTCCCATGTCAGGTTCTGGAAATCCCAGCTGCCTTCAGGGTACCACATGCTCCATGGGTCCCCTCTACCTGAAATGCCCTTTCCAAGTGACTACATTAAAATCAGCACCAAACACATCCTGTGCTCACAGCCTTCCAAACAGTGCGCATGTCTTTTGTCTTCTCATGACCTAGGGACCGGCACTGACTTTGTGCTTGACCGGCTGTGCTGTGGAGAAAGAACCCTGAGCTCCTGGCCAGGGAATCCAGAGTCCAGCCTTGCTCCTGATGGACTACAGGCCTTGGGTAGTCTCTTGGGACATCTGTTTCTCATTTCATTCTATGTAAAGTGGGGGTCACAGACATTCTGCGGAGGGGAGGAGCTTCTTACACTGCACAGAGGCTTCTCTGAGCACAAGCTGTCCTGCAGGCAGGGGCACATCAGAGCAGAGACCATGGTTGGCTCTTGGCAACATTTTGTGGGTTCTGTTCAGCTGTCTTGAGTCCTGGGGAGAATTCCCTGGCCGACTATGGCATGGAAAACATACTGTCGGCTGCTCCATCAAAGGCCACAGCATTCCTTCCCTCAAGGCAATTTAGGCACGCACAGCCCCTGCCCTCAGTTGTGGGTATGACGATGCCTCCATGTGGCACGAGTGCTCAGGGTGGAAAGGCTTCCGGGAACTCAGCAGACCGTGGGCAGAGGCACCGGGTGCAGGGGACTTCAGTCTGACCTGGCCTCTGCTGCCAGCCTGAGCCTCCTGCATCACTTCTCTGACCCCTTGGCTTGATTAAGTCAGTGCTAAGGTCCCTTCCAGGGCTTGCAGTCCATGGATACGTATGGCCTGGATATGTATGATCCAGATAAGACTGGCACTGAGTGGGTTCCTTAAAGACTAAGCTTCGCATAACTTCCACCTTTAAGTAGCTCTGGAATCACTCAATCCACAAATATTAATCCATCTACCCCAGGTGTGGTCTATAGTCCAATCAGATCACTCTCACGAAAGGCACCATCCATGACAAACACTGAGTGAAAGCTCTGTCTATTTGGATGCTGATTTCTTAGGATAAATTTCCTTTTTAAGAAACAAAGTTGTACTTCATTGGAAAAACTAATTAGGAAAGGCACCCGGAGTGAAGCCCTGTGACTCACTTCTTGCTGACTTTGTTTCCCAACTTTTGAATTTCATGCTTCCTGTTTGTATTGCCTGTTCTTTAAAATAATCATGTATATTGGGTTCAATCCCCAGCACCACAAAATAATAATAATAATAAATAAAATAAAAATTAAAATAAAATAATCACATATTTTCTTATGAAATGATACAGTGTCTGGGACTTGTTTTCAAGTGCTCCAGGCTGGGGTCGGCCAGGTAGTGACTGTTACCACAGCTGCGCAGTGAGGACCTGGGGGTTCCTGTTCTACTTTTGGATATGTCTGGAATGTTCCAAAATGAAAATATTAATTAGTAAACATTCCCATTTGTTAAAAGCACACTTAATTACTCACAGACTGCAAATTTTTGCTTTATTCCACCTTTCCCCTGAAAACTGTGTTGGTGTAATGAAAACAAAACCAAATTCCCTATGACGAATCAGTTACATTTTTCCAAGAATTAGGGAAAGAAACCAGAGAGGAATCTGGAGTGCAGTGCCAGCGGCCACCAAGGACAGCAGCAGATGTCGCTTGGGGACACCATCTTCTGTTCTTCCTTGGCGAGTTGGAGCCAGGACAGACACAAAGCAGAGCTTCCTGGGTGCACTGCTGAACAAGCACTTTCCTTGAAGGGCACTTTTCTTGTCTCACTGGCTTTTCCTTTAGGAAAAAAAAGCAAAGCGGTAGACCACCAGTAAGAGCGGGCTTCAGATATGTCTCTCCGAACGGCAAATGGCCTTTGATATTCATATGCTCAGCCAAAAACTGCTGTAGTGTCTCTGATGTTTTTAGCAATGCATTTTTTGAAATAGTTTATGAATAAGTGTTTCTGGCATTGGGCCAGCTGCTGAAATATGCTGGGCTTCAACTGTGTATGGGCTTCCTGTTGCTGCTATAACAAATCACCTCCACTGACCTGGTGGTCAAAAATAGCACCAGCTTGATCTCTTGCAGCCTGGAGGTCAGAAGCTTGGATTCAGTTCCATCTGGGTCAGATCAGAGAGCTCAGCTCCTTCTGGAGTTCCGAGGAGGGACTCGCCCCCACTTTTCCCAGCTTGCCGCACGCGGACAGCCAGGGCTTGGTCCCTCCTGTCTTCACAGCACACTGTTCCTCTCTCATCCTCGGCCCCATCACCTCTGCTCAGCCCTGGCTGTTCTGCTCTCCCTTTTATTGAGGTGTGATAGAGTAAAGATAGGTAGAAAGGAGACCGAAGGAAGGAAAGAGACCTCCACCCCACATCTAAACGCCCATGACCCCACTGACCCGCCAGGCCTGTTTTTCCTCCAGGTCTGCCACTCCCAACTTTCTGAGAACTCTGTTAGAGTTACTGCAAATTCCCTCATCTGTGAAAAGTGCCTCGAGCAGGTTACAGCTGAGGTGCCCTGTTACCTGCACGATGCTCTTTCAGATGTGGTAATGCAAAGACAGGTGTTTGAAGCAGCCTATCCCACAGGGTACTTTCCAAGTGTTACCTACAGAGCTTTGGAGCAAGTCACGGTCTTAGAGCAAGTTGGCCTGGGACTCTCCCTTCCTATGTATACACTGGTGGTGGGAAGTCGAGCTGTCGCACCAGGGCCATCCAGAGCACCAACACCAGGTTTAAAAGGCCATGTGTCAATCGCAGCTCCTTTTCTATGCTTGGCATGGCTTCTTCTGGTGGCTTCATTTCAGAGACTGTCCCTGGCCCCTGAAAAGCAGAAGGCACATGGACCAACACATGCACAACTCCACCTGGTGTGAGCCAGCTGTGGTAGCTGGCTTCCTGTCACTGTGACAGAATACCTGAAAAGCCTATTTAGCAGGAAGAAAGTCTTGTTGGGCTCATGTAGCAGAGGTTCCAGCCCATGGTCACTTGGCGCCAAGTGACCATTGGTTTGGGCTTCTGGAAGCACAGCATGGTAGGGCGAGAACGCATGATTAGTAAGTCCTGTCCACCTCATGGCGGGTGGAAGGCAAGGGAAGGAGCTAAGGTCCCAGCACCCCTGCAGACACACCCAGGACCCAGCTCTTCCTACCAGGCCTGGCTCCTAGGCCCCAGCACCTTCCAGTAGCACCACAGGCTGGTCACCCAGTCTCTACCTTGTGGGCCTCCAGGGACATGTAGATCCAAATAGTTGTCACCTCTGTTTCCTTTTTGTACTGACAGTGAACCACGAATTCATGCTCACTGAGACCACGGCAGCAATAGGGAAAGAAGTGTGTGGAGCAGAACAGGGCAGCCCTTCCAACCATTCCCTCCTGCTCCCCTTCCAGGTTCCCCTCAGGAGATCAGACGCGTGGTTCTGTGGACGGATGAACCCCCCCCCCTTGCTCTGCTCCACCCAGCACAGCTAGCAAGACTGCTGCCCTTTCCCGCCTCACTCCCCATTACAGACTCTGTTTTGGGGCATTTTTTATGTTTTTTAGTTGTAGATGGACATAATACCTTTATATTTATCCTTTCATTTTTATGCAGTGCTGAGGATCAAACCCAGAGCCTCACACGTGCTAGGCACGTGCTCCGCCACCAAGCCCCAGCCCCAGCCCCTGTCGGAGCATTTTCAAGAGCAGAAAGAGATGCCATTTTGCAAAGCAAAGGGTTCCATAGATCCCTCTGGAAAAGGAGAGGAAAGCCCAGGCCACGGAGCCTGGAAGACAGAAGCGCTCAGAGTGGGCAGGGGCAGGGAGTGTGGCTGGGCTGCAAGAGGGAGAGGGGGCAGGTGATGCAGACCCCAGGGGAAGCCACCAGGCAAAGCTGGGGCACCCACAGGTAGCGTTCTCACAGGCAGCAGCCTCTGTCTTTAGGGTCTGGCTACCTTTGGAGGGTCAGGTGATCTGAGCCTTTGTTTGGTTCTTAGGTGGGCTTGGGGGGCCCACTGGGCTGGCATGGTACAGAGGGAAGGAGGCCACTGCAGGCTGCATAGGCAGCTCCACCACACCTCGGGGCAACAGGGAGACCTTACAGTGAGGAGCATGTCCCCAAGCAGGAACAGTGAGAGGGCCTGGCCTGACTTAAGACGGGCTCTTAAGACGGGCTTGCCTCTTGTGGGGGACTTAAGACGGGCTTGCCTCTTGTGGGGGACTTGGCTGCGTTTGTCCTCCAGGTCAGGTTCACATGCACACCCTTATAAAAAGCACCAGTGGACTCCTACTAACTTACTTTTCTGTGACTTGCTTTCCCCTTAATATTCTAGAGCATTCCCTGTCAGCTCATGGGGAACACCGATTCTTCCAGGCACACACTGTGCATCTTCAACGTTCGCAGGCTGCTCCTGGCCCTCCCTTCTCTCCTGCGGCTGATTTAGGTCAGGGAGCAGGAAATGAGGGCTGCTCGGGGCAGGCAGGGGACACACTGGCCACTCCCCTGGGCTTGCCCTACCTTGTCCATGCACTGCCCTTTGGAAGCCCCCTTGCTACTCACCAGCCTAATCCTGGGGGAGCAGCCTCAGCCTCTGCCCTGCTGTGGAGGGGAGGTCAGGGAAAGTTGGGGGAAGTCCCCAAATTCCATCCTTTTGAAAAATGTTTCTATTTGTTTTTGGTTTCCATAGTGCTGCAGCATGAGCCTAGAAAACTTTCAGAATGTTTTAGTGATGTCCAATCTCCTTCCCCTTTTATTTCTTTAACTCTTTTTTTTTTTAAGAATCAAAGACAAACTTCAAACGCTTTGCATGTCAACTTCATCCAGTTCAACGCTTTTATATGTGTTGCCACAAAATTCCCAGAAGCAGTCATGTCAAAGCAGTCTTTGCAAAAGGAGGGGGAAAACTTTGTTTCAAATGTCATTCATCAGCTCTTGAAATATAATACTCACCTTTGGAAATCACGCTTCTCTAAATTAATCGCCTCCAGATCACAGTGGGGCTTTTCTTTCACAGAGCTTTCAAACAACCTCAAATGTCATGTCAACTGGCAATTTCCCCCCTAAGAATGAAACCAAATCTCCTTAGTAGTGAATTAGTGGGTTATGGGTGGGGCTGGGGATCAAACCCAGGCAAGTGCTTTGACACTGACCTCACCCTCTACCCTGAACTGGCTCTTATAGATGAATAAAAATGGACGACAGCTGAGGGCCTGGGCAGGACCGCAGGCACCCAGCCAAGCAGGCGTGTCTTCAGGAGTTTCAGCTCCTCGGGGGGCATCTGCCCGGCTGACTCTGCTCTCCTCACCCCCAGGGAAAACACACTGGCCGGCCTCGTGGGGGGACCTTCCAGGAGAGACTGAGGGGGACTGGGCTCATCCTAAAGTCAGCATGGAGAAGGTTTCATAAATACAAGTCCGGGTCTTTTAAAAACTGCACCACTGGATCTTCATTCCTGCTCCCAGTGTGGGGTGACAACCCACTGTGAGTCTCATCCAGAAAGGTTGGAGGGAGGCCTGGGGGAGCAGGGGCCCCACGTTTCCCACTCCCGGAAGCAGCATTTCTTGGTGAGTCCTGGAATAGTTTCAAAGCAATGGCTTAATAAATCAGGGGTTGGGGTGTATGTGTGTGTGTGTGTGTGTGTGTGTGTGTGTGTGTGTGTGTGTGTGTGTGTGAAGTATAACTTGTAGCGTAAAAGAGCAT